TTACTCGGGGATGCAGAAGGAGAGGAAGAAGAAGAAGAGTGGGGGCAGCTCTCGACTATCTCGTTCTTCGTTTGTGGGTCGATTACTCCCTGGGAGGTATCGTCCTGAGGGGTAGGAATCGAGTCACCTTGGTGGTGGTCGTAGTCATGGTTCTCTTTGTCGTCTTGGGGTGGTTCGTTGGCACTTGCGGAACGGAGGTCAGAGCGGGCCTTTTTCATACGGAGGCTGGGCTGGACCCGGTTGCGCGAGTTGGAGGCTCGTCGGCGCGCCGAGAGAGAGCGGGTGCTCGCGGATCGGAGGGGTTGGGAACGACGTCGGCCGCGCTCTTCGCCGGAGGAGTAGGCGGTGGTTGATATGTCTTTGGATTGCTTGCGCTCGACGGAGCCGGGGCTGTCGCTGGTGAGCATTTTGGGGAGCTTGGTGCGGCGAGGGGTTGTGGCTTCCTCGGAACCCGAGGGCTTGTCGGTGCCTGGTGTTGTGGAGTGCTTTGGGTCTTTCTGTTGAGATGTCTTTAGAGATTCTGGGTCTGGGGATTTTCGCTTGAGGGATGGGCTGTCTGCGCTTAGGGAGCTTCGTCCTTGACGCTCCTTAGGGGTCCTCGGAGTGAGTTGTGGTGTCCCGGCGAGTTCGTGCGGACCGCTGCTGGGCGGGTTTGTCAAGGATGACACGGGGGCTGACGCATTCCTCGGAGACGTAGGCGAGACTGTTGCTGCGGCTTGATACAGCAGCCGCTCTGAAGGAAGCGAGGGAAGCGCCCCGGGGACAAATTTCCGAGGGTAGGGAATCTCTGGTAAGGGCATTGGTGCCAGCACCTCCTGCTCCTCACCCACCAGCTCGCGCAGTTCTCGTCGGGCCCGTTCCAGCTTGATCTCAAGATCACTGACTCGCTTCATCAACTTGGCTTGCCGTTGAAGCTCCTTGCGTGACTTTTGCCGTCGCACTGCAGATCCCTCCAGCTCTTCCGGGAATTTGTTTGAATCTTGCCGTCTCACCAGGGGTATGCCCAAAGACGACTTTGCTTTTCGCAATTCTTGGATCGACGACCGAAGGGTGTTGCCTGATTCGGTCAGCTCGCCCGAGTTCTGGCGCGAATGAACTCCAACGGGCCTATATTCCAACTGCTCGGGTATTGGGTTCCACGATCGCTGGGGCGTGTTGGACTCTGCATTCAAATTCTGTAAGTAGCTTCCCTTGACGGTTCCCTTGTAGCCGGACTTCTTCAGCTCCGCATATGCCCTCTCCGCCTGACTCAAAGGGTCACCCGGCTGTTTGGCACCTCCGTCTGCCGGTCCGGCCTTTGATCCCCAGGCGCCGAATGGGTTGAACGCTGATGCAATTGCCTTTCCAAAGCGGAAGATTCCCGAGGGCCGCTGGCCATTGCTGTTGTTGCGTACGTCATCGCGCATGAAGATGCTCGGCGGTTTCTCGCTCACGCTGTCGTTCATGCTTCCCTCAACGAACCGTGAACGCCGCCCACGAGCGGACGGACCAGCCTGGCGCATATGCCTCGATGTTCGTGGGGAGCCATTGCTCCTGCTATTCGCAGAGTGAAATGGTCTGCGATATCCCGTAGTGGTGGTAGTCGTAGTAGTCGCAGTCGTAGTGCCGCTGCTTGGATTCTCCTTCGGCGCTGGGGCTTCACTATCAGTGGCCTGAGCATCATCTCGCTGCTGCAGCGGCCAATCGTTTGAGCGCCGTCGTTTGGCCGAGTGAGCGGATGGCGATCTGCTCCGGGCAAGAGGCTGGTCCAGCTCTTCTGCATCATCGAAACGACCCGACTCATCGGTGCTATAGCCGGACTCGAGGCTGGATTCGCTGACATTGCGCGCGTGCTTGCGAGTCCGAGATTCGCGGGCCGCATGGTCAGCGCAAGTGGACTGCAGGGTCTGTTCGAGCTGACGGTCGGTGTCTAGAGGGTCGAGGTCCATGGTTGTGCTGGTGCATCCGGGATCCGAGGCCAACTGTTGTCGGGGAAAATGATGGGTCAGACCTTTTGGTTCACACAGTATCCGCCCGCGCAAGGGAGGAAAGAGTGGATGCTATTTGAAAAGAGGGTCTGACTTACCTCGGTCGCAGCCTCACGATCCGTCATCCCGTCAGTCACAACGTTCCACTTCGACGGGTAAGTATAGAAGGATAGGTCATTGGACACCAGAGAAAGCGCGAGACAATGGATAAATAAAGAGACCGAGCGATGGAGACAGCAACAGGGAAGCGAACAGACGGGGAAGCCGGAGTGGGGACGATGGCAATGATGGGTCGGTCGTTCAGCTGGTAGATGTGGCCCGGGTCACTGGTCGGCAACAAGTCTGGGATAGTCTCGTAAGATCTGTCTAGCGGTGAGAGACAGACAGTGAGAAGAACTGATGGACCCGAGGGATTGGGATGGTGATTTGTTGTTGACTGTTGATTGTTGATTTGTTTACTTTCCCCGCCCGAGTTCCTGGGCCAGCCGCCAAGCCGCACCAGGCCGTTTTGGCGCCAAAAGTCCAGGGCTAATCACATACCAGAGCGACGGGCAAACAATGCTATGGCCTGAAGAAAGGCATGTGCACAATAGCGCTGTTTTATCCAAAAATGATTTAATGACAAATGAATTGGATGGAGGAAGAATGCAATGTGCTGGGAGTACGAAGCACCGCTCTAAATATGGGCTGCAGAATCGCCGAGCTTTGAAAAACGGTCACAACACAAGAAAAATAAAACTCAAATCGGCCCGGGCAGGTTTCAACTTGATGGGACTATTGGCATTTACCGTCTGCGCTTGGTTTCATGTCTCGAATGATCGCAAGTCCCCACCCAGGATGACAAAAGAAGGAACGACAAAACAATGTGGGGAATATGTATGAACATAAAAAGCAGGTATCACAATCATTTACAAAAAAAAAATATCCAAGATGCCAAGGACAATGTGGTATAAACGTCAAGACTGGTGTCATAAAGAAATTGGAACTCCCCTGGGACCGTGTACCCAGACCGAGAGCTCCCCCAAATCCCCTACCAATCCCCCAACCCAAATTACAGATTCAATTGCACGACCAGACGCCGAGACTCCTCCCTTGTATAAACAGTGCTGTATGTATGCATGATTTCCCTTCTGTCGAGTTCATTATATGGCCGGAGAAATTTTGGTGGCCATCCGCCCGTTGGCCCGCTTGTATGCCATTTCGTCCCGGTCGCTGAGTAATGCCGCCCGGTGAACGTCGGATGGCCTGCGGTCCGCGCTGGGGTAGCTGTCGCTGTCGGGCCGCATGCCATTGTAAAGTGGGCGCTCGCTATGACCAAACGCATCCTCATGAGGTCGCTTCGAAGATGCTGCCGTGCGGGTATCCCACAAGAATCCCCTGGGTTCCCGGTTCGGACTAGGCGCCAGATTGCTCGGTGGCTGCGGCAGATTATTCGAGTATTCGGCGGAGATGGATGCGATGGGCGGAAGTGAAGGAGCGGCATTGGAGGGAGTTGGGGCGCGAGGTGGCACAGGATTGGCCATGGCCCGATATGCGGTAGGATCTGAAGGATGCAATACGCGGATAGGCGGCAATGGCTTCGAGTAGGTAGAGCGCTCCGCCGGCAATCGAGATGGGGGATAGCCAGAGGGCATAGGCTCGTATTCGGTGCTTGTTGACGGGTTCCTTGTGTGAGTATAAGTCGGATGAGGAGAATAAACCTGAGTTGGCGTGGTTGCAGACTGAGGAGTTCCAGGTAGTTGTGGGGCAGGATACTGAGTCCGCGTCGCGCCGAAAGAAAGATGAGAAGTGTAAGAGGAACTGCGGGACGAAGGCGCGATGGGAGCAACTGGAGTGGGTGTAGAAGAGGCCGGTGGTGCGGAAGCAGGCGCCGGCGGAATCGCTCGTGGATAAGCTTGAGGATTCGGGAAGCCGTACTCCGTGGCAGATGGCCGACGAGGAGCTTCAGGCCCATAGGAGAAAGCTGGGTCCACGGACCCAATGCTGGTCGATCGCGGACGCTCAACAGGGTTTGCGTAGGCGTCAGGGGTTGAATACCGATCCGGAATACGGCCGCGATGGGATCGTTCCTCGTCGAAGTCGTAGTCGTCAGATCGCTTGTCGCCACGTCGTCTCATACGGACGTCGCGCCTGATACGGACGCGGCAGCCTTGCTCTGCAATGATGCGGCTCAAGGAAGTGCTGGTGGTCAGACCGGGGAACTTCTTGGCACTGAAAACCGTGAAAGGGACCGAGACGACTTCGAGACGGAAGTTCAGGAACGATTTGGGAATTGAGGGCTTCCCTTTCATCATTGGTGACCGAATTGGTGCAGTTTCATCCGCATCCTTGCTGTCCTTGGTCTCCTCGTACAAATGGAAGCTCAACCGATAAACACCCTCATGACGGACGGAAAGGTCGGGAAAGATAAAGTATCCAGCCTGAGACGGGCGATCCAAGTATGCCACTCCCGCCACCGGGACACCTGTGAGAACGGGAAACGTCGGGGTTGGGGCAAGCCGTCCTTGCGCCATGGGGCGAGCAGTTTCTAGCGTAGCGAACAGGAAGAAATTGGCGTTGTAGGCGAAGGTGATATCTGTCTTGTGCACGTCATCGTTCGGATCGGACTCGAATATACGTAGCTCGACAACCGGTGGGGGATCAACAGGGCGACGGTCCGCAGATGCTAGAAACAGTCAAACATGGTCAGCCTGGTCTCCAATAATGTCCGCATTGCGTGCAGGGAGTGATGCGTACATTTGGCGCCGGCACCGCATGCTCTTGCACGCTCAGGCTGTTGCATAACATTGAGCTTGTATGTGATTCTTTTGCCTTCACGAGTAATCCGGCTGACGGAATGCTCCGTCTCGTTCACCGGAGGCGAAAGGGGAGGTCTAGTAGCCATAATGTACAGAATGCTCGAGTAACCTGCTGTGATATTAGCATTCCCATCCCAAGCCCGGTGCGCTTGCCGCGACAGGTAAAAATGATGGCAACCTGCTCCAACCACCCAGTACTTACTTCGGTCTAAATGGAACAGTAACTATATCGAAGCAGGCATTGAAAAGTTGTGCTGATTAATTTGACGGTGATTGTCGTCGTCGTCCTCCTTTGTCAGACTCTAGGCGCGACCGAGTGTAAAATCTATGGAACCGATCCGGCGGTTGGAAGACACGGACAAGACTTGGCGAGTGGTGAGGTTGGAATTGATATCGGTCGCTCCAAATTATAGCGGATCGGATCACAGCATGAAAGTGTTCGACTATAATTTTAGAAAGAAAAGCAAGTGGATGAGAGAGAAGTTGGGTCTGTCGTGGGTGGATAAGCGACAGAATGGCCGATAGCCTAGCAATTGACCCCAGCGGGCTATGGAGAGGGAAAGGCAAGAGAGAGAGAGAGAGGAGAGGACGGACGGGAAGGATTGGAGATGGATGGGGTCGATGGAGGGATGGATGCCACCAAGAAGAAGAAGCAGTGTGACCGACAAGAAGAGGGTGAAGAGGGTGAAGAGGGTGAAGAGGGTGAAGAGGGTGAAGAGGGAGGGGGAGGAAAGAAGAGATACAGACAGAGAGAGAGGAAGAGTAGGAAGGTGGCAGAGTCAGCCGTAACGAGATCGTTCGAAAAGGCAGATGAGGTGCGCTATAGCGACTATACCTACCATGGACCACACCCACTTTGGCGGGTGGAACTGGGACTGAGAGACTTGACCTTCTGGCTGGGTAAGCCGGCTCCGAGGGTGTGGGTGTAATTGGGTAGAATTACCCTGCTCGGCGGACGGCCCACTTTCGGGTCTGGCTCTTACAGTCTTTTTTGAAGGTACGACTTTCCCACTTTAAAAACCCCAAGTCTATTTATCGACGGCAATAGCTTCTCTACTACTCACTTACGGAGCATCCACTCACCTTACTTATAAAATAGTCCGGCTTCAAGGTATGAAATTCTCCCGGAGAAGGGGGGATTTTTAAAATGATCTCACAGACTACTTACTTGCTTTGTAATTCCCCACGCCACCATCGTGACTCCTAACTACAAATTAAAGTGGTCATTCGTCATACCATAAGTAGTACTTAGTGTTCGGTTTTAATACATCTCTGGCACATTATTTTCACGTACTTAACTTCCCATAGATTACCCGGTCACCCCCCAAGGATGAAGGAGACTAAATCTGCGCTACTGAGCCGGAGGGGTGGGTACTGGGTCGGACTGAAAAGGAGATGGAGCCAGAAGAGGGGAAACGCAGCCCGGCCGATCCACTGGGAGGCCACGCTCCTGCTTTAGCCCAAGTGCTAAGGCAGCGGTTAGGTTCAATGGGACATTGCAATCGCGACTGCGACCCTCTTGGCTTGCCTTTTTCCTTTTTGTATAGGAGGAAAAAAGAAATAAAGGGATGGAAAAAAAACTTGTGAGAAGAAAAAATGCAAATTTAACCCAAGAAAGGCAAAATGAAATAATCAGGGATTAATTCCCCAAAAGAGCAAACAAAAAATACTTTACAAATCTTATCGGTAGTCACTGAGGGCAGTGGGTCTGACTCTGGGGGCTTTTCCGGCCGGGCGGGAAGGGCAAAGGTCCGTGAAGTTCAAGAAAAAAATAAAGAGGGGGGAACGACGTCTGTTTCGTATTTGGGAGCAAGAAGAGAAGGAGGCTTAGTTCGGATTTCTGATACTAGGAAGGTGACCTTTTTGGCACCGGCAAAATATTTACAGGCCTTGCAATTTACGTGGTCTGAACTCCCTGGTCGGATCTTCTTCATGAAATAATTAACAACGACTACTAGTAAGTAAGCAAGCCTCTTGGAATACCCAGGTGGTAACTAGCGACATAAACAGCTTAGTGAGCTGCCATCCTTGATAAGCGACGCAATTTGAATGGATGAAACTTAATCGAGGCAAACCTTCTCAAATTGCAGCTGGGCAAAGGGGATCCTGTCGGCATCCTAGTACTTGGTAGATGCTCGTAACTGCCAGTTGCAAGCGCTCAGCTTAGGCCGGCAGGCTAAACTAGACTCTAGGAGGTTGTCCGGGCGGGCGATCTCTCGCGTCAAACTGGAAGGTGATTTTCTGGCGGTCGCGTCGCTTCCAAATCGATGGACATTATGGGGCACCCAGTCGGCATTAATGCTATTGGGGTTTCTTTCCTGAGATCTGTAGCTTAGGAAAGTCCCGGCACGGAGAGAGACCGAGAGGCACGTCTGAAAAAACTGGAGAAGAAGCCCGCTTTTCCCCCTTCCTCCCTAACTTGACAAAGCTCTTACTTTATCCGGGTGCTCTCTATAATTGGGAATGTTCTGCAGCACGGACTTTACTCCCTCGAGATGGATCAATAATCATACGAATTATCATCAGACTGGGGTCAATAATGGGTGGATGACTATTCAGAAGAAGACTTGACCTTAATCGTATGGTCAAGCTGACTTTTGTCTTTTTACTTTTCAGCTGGGAGTAGGAGTGAGGTTACGGCACGGCGTAATCAACCAGAGTATTGGTAACCCACCGGACTTCGATCCAGGATGGGCTCATGACTGATCATTGGATTCCGACAACGCTTCACATGAGACAAGTGCTTACCCGACTCGACCCCCTGTCAGTCACATATAACACGCTGTATTATTGGGCTCGCAATTACCCAGTCCAGCGGGCCGGTTGCTTATCCCAAATGCCTGGGAGCTGGGAAAGAAAGAGGAGTTTTGAAGGATAGCGGGGTTGGTCAATGCGCTCTTTGTCTTCTTTTCATCATCGCTAGCCTTTTTGCCAATCCTGCAGGTTTGCGTGCTATCTATCTGCTGCGCTGCGGATGGGCCGGCAATCCTGGGGAGGGTTTGCCCCATTTGTCAGTCGGAATCGAACGTTCTGAAATTATGCTACTCCGTCCTCTTGTGCGATCTCAGGAATCATTAATTACTAGTAGGCATAGTTGCTTACTTTGGCACTTTGCCCAAAGCGGCCTGTCACTGGACCGCTGGTTGGTGAGTATCCCTGGGATAATTATGGCACGCTTTTTGAGTTTGGCTAGGTCCTTCACTACGCTGTGTGCTCCGAGCCTGGAGCCAATAATCTCGACATAGGAGATATTCGAATCTTCCCCTGCTATTCAAGGCGTAAGACGGTCGCTAAAGATGACTACTCGTTATCGTATCAATACGGCACCCTACTCATTGGTACATACCTAATTAGGGCTGGCCACATGCGAACTACTACGATGCAGCAATGCAGGTTCCATACCGAGGTCTCTTTTTCCTTTTTCTCTTTTCTCTCATCTAGGTAAGCAGGCAGTCATTCGTGAGGAGCAGCTGGGTGGCAGATGAGCGAATCACAATCGTCCGTCCGTAAATGGTGATTTCCGGTACCGGCCGATGGCGAACCAAACAACAATCCGAGAAAAGCAAATCTGGCACCGATCGAAGCACTGACGATCTTAACTGAAAACTACAGGAGCCTGGGATGTGAAATCCTGTCGCAGCCCCCTCCGAATAAAATTGGATCTGCACGAGATGGCCTCTAGTAGGGAAGCCCGGACTGTTCACGGTTTTCAGGGATTCTTCCCTACTTAGTGACCAACTAAGCAGGTCATCAGCTCGACAATGGGGGGGATTGCCCCAGCCCCGATCGCAGAACGCCCGACCCCAAATCGTTGGAGGATTTCTTTGGTCCTTCAGGTAATTTAGCCTTATGAGCCTGGCGCCTGCAGGCCCGTCTAGGCCGTGGTCTTGCCTGCTTGGGATTAGCATCGGATCGCAACCTGCGAATGACGATGGCTGCTCAGCAAATCGGAAGCTGAGACTCCACACCCTCCTCCTGTGCCCACCTGCGACATGATTCGACCACTGCCAGCGACTCCACTGAAACCGCCCTGAATGGGAAAGAATCAAGCGTCAGGCGCCGGCTTTGCCTGGTCCGTCCACCCGTTTGGCCCTTGACTCATGAATACCAGCCCCGATCATCGTGTGCCGTACTGTGGTAAGTAAGTCGGATGGAGGATGGATGGAATGGATGGATTGTGGAAGGTTTCATTCTGCCCCACCCAGACGGTCCGCACCGAATACAGCGGCCCCATTCCAGCCAATTTGACAGTTTGGTTCAGCACCTCGGCTTTAGGCAGGCATTGTCCTACAGTCCACCAGACAAGAAAGTAGTTGAAGACCTACAGCATCCTCAGTCCGCTGAGTATGTATTATATACTATCCGGATCTAATTAGACTGCGACAAGATGTGTGATCACACTTTTTTGGAGCTCTTGGCGGTAGGTCGAAACGTGAATATTCGTTCTGTAACATACTACTATGACTCCATACTCAGGTGGATTAGTATGCACATAGTCAGGTTGGAGCTAGCTAGTTAAGTATGACATGGTCAAACCGACGTTCACCCTAACCATTATGAATAGACTTGGTTCCTCAGGGGTAGCTGTGACTAGTTGCGGGATAACGGTGTGATGGACACCTCGTGTACCTGCTATGGTGCAACCACCAACCACTGCTCCTACTACTACTGCTACTTACTACTCCCGTACTACTCAAGTGCTACTATTTTAGTGGCAGGCGGACCGACTGACTGACTGACTGACTGATCAACAGACTGACTGCGTGACTGTACCCTCCTACCGGAAAAGAGAAAAGAAGAGAGGGCAAGAGAGAGTCCCGGGCCCACACCGCACCTTCCCCGGCAGAATCTAGTCGATTTACGGGCGCCTATTTACCCCTGCGTTTCGGACTGGAGTCTCAATGGGGACTTTCCTTCGGGAAGATCTCCATGTCAATCACTCTAATCTCCTCCGTCTCCTGCTCTACCTGGGGATCATAATGAGGATCAATTTATGGTTAGCAGGTATAGTCTCGGCTGTTTATAGGGAGAGTCAGTCTGGGATCATGTCATGCTCTCCCACAAGGGGGAAGAAAAAGGAAGAAGATAGAGTGGGGAAACCCCAAGAAGCCACCGAAAAGCGATGATGACAGCGTGCATCGACCACCACCCACTTGCATCGACAGCCTGCTTCTTCTGTCATTAATCCTTCATTCATTCGGCAGCAACTAGCTGCGACGACTAGTACATGGTAGGTAAGTAGGTGCCTTGTGCTCCCATAAACCACCACCACCACCGTTGTCATACCTAATTGATACCGTTGCTTACATGCGTGCCGCCGAGACATGGCACCACCGTCCGAGCGACCCATTCTTTCTGCATGAGTTCCAGAAAGCTGCCGGATCCGTGCCGGTGCATAGTAGCAATACTAGACCGTTGCGTTTCTCTCTGGTCATTGACGTGTACTTTCACCTAAAGTATGTGCATCCAGGCCGATTAACGTTTCCAGTCGAGGCATCCAGGCAAGCATGTTGGACGCATTCCGTGCTGTGAAATTCGCCAGCACTCTGTCTTCTCTGGGTCCGGATGTCTCTGCTGCATAAGCCGAGTGTGCGCTATCGAGAGAAATTGGCCAGTAACCACCCTGTCGGGTCTACCCGCATGGATCTTCCTGGTTGGGCTGCATGGGTCATGTGTAGTGCTGGGTGTCTGGTATTTGGGGAGGCGTAACAGGTAGCGTGAGAGAGAGCAAGCGAAAGACAAGTTACCGGCAAATCGGGCACATACTTGAGCAGGTCCTTCCTGAGATTATCACATTGATACGGTTATTTTGATCTCTGGAAACATCAACACCAGATGGATGTTTACACACACAGGTACTTTGCGAGCCACGACGCTAAGCCTAGCTAGCCTGCCTAGGGGGGGAAACGAGGCGGCGATGTGGCAAT